TTCGTACACTGGAAGACATTAAAACGATAGACGATGAAACAATAATTTCAGGTTTAGAACAGATATTTTATACAATAGATAATAGTAATTTTAATGTCTCTTAATCATTCTTTTAAAATAAGTCAGTGTACCGCTAGATCTGCGGTTGCCAATAAAGGCAGCTTAACGTTCTCAGTGAAACATGGCACGACGGTTCTGGCGGCTTGACCATATTAATTCATAATTCAATTTCTTTTAGTAAATTAAAGTTAAATTGTAATTTTAATAAAGATATTCAAGTTTATGGTGCAAACATTAAATACAAAAAAAGTGAATTAAGCATATTATCTATATACAAAGAACGCCCAAAAAGTAAAAGCACAGTATGATTGGACGAATATTTTCTCGGAAGTAAGTAAATCAGAAATTATAGGTGGAGACTTCAACGCTCATCATACAATATGGGGATCGAATTTTAATGACATAGTTGGAAAACAACTTGTAACTGCTGCAGATGATTTGGATTATATAGTAATTAATAACGGGAAACCAACTATTCTTACCCGACATGATCAAAATATTTCTTTTGTTTTGACATTGAGATGGCAATGGGTAAAACATGTAGCAAGACAAGACACCAACAGATAGTCTCATAAAGCGACATTCTGGAGACCTCGAAAAACAAAAAGAAGCGTAGGAAGACCCAAAAAGAGATGGATAGACGATATAATAGCTGAAGAAAGATGATAGAGAAGAAACAGATCACATTAAAATACTACGTGGAGTTAGACACGGATGTATCCTATCGCCTTTGATATTTAATATGTACTCAGAGAAAATTTTTAACGAGGCTCTTTACGGAATAGACGAAGGCATCCTTCTAAATGGTGAAAGAATAAACAATGTTAGATATGCCGACGACACCATGGTGATAGCAGATAGTTTAGAAGGACATCAGAGGTTAATGGACAGAATAAACGAGTACAGTCAACAGTACGGACTAAACATTAATACACACAAAACGAAACAAATGATTATCAGCAAGGAGAATATAAACGGGGCTCATCTTTACATTAATGGGACGCAGATAGAGCGAGTAAAACAGTAATGTTACCTGGGAACTATTATTAACGAACAGTGGAGCAATTTACAGGAAATAAAGTGCCGCATAGGAAAGGCAAGAACGGTCTTTAACAAAATGAGCGCCATCTTCAAAAGTCACAATATATCCCTTGATACAAAAATGAGACATTTGAGATACTATGTTTTCTCTGTGTTGTTGTACAAGGCGGAGGCATGGACGCTTACAGATGTCACCATTAAAAAACTTGAAGCATTTGAGATGTGGCTTTATAGAAGAATGCTGAGAATATCATGGACAGCAAGGATCACGAACAAGGAAGTTCTAGGAAAAATGAAGAAGGAACCAGAGATTGTGTTTACGATCAAACGCATAAAATTGCAAAATCTGGACACGTTATGAAAAATCAGCACCGTTACTCCCTGCTACAGTCTATATTGCAAGGTAAAGTCAAAGGTAAGCGAGGACCCGTAGAAGGAAAATATCATGGCTGCGGAATTTAAGAACATGGTTTAAGAAAACCTCAACGAAGCTGTTTCGAGCCGCAGCGAGCAAGGTTATGATTGCCAATATGATTTCCAACATTCGAAACGGATAGGAACCAGAAGAAGAAGAACAGTGTCTGGGTTGTAATAAGGTAACAACAGTTAGCCTTCTTGCCATTAGTCCTCTTTCATTAAGGCGTCTTCTAATCGTTAATTCACTTACATTCACATTTCGAACTTCCTGCAGACGGTTTCTCGGAGCAATTGCAGTGGAATGGCGATTTATTAAAAGTTCCATTGAAATAAAACGATCATCTCTTTGCGACATTACTCTTCTACGATCGAAACCTGTTCGTCATGAGTATGTACCAGTTTCTATAAACCGATGGAAAGCTCACCATACTGTAGTTCTCGGAACACCCAAAGTTTTGGATACATAAACTTGACTTCTTCCGTCTTGTAGCAATACAATAATTCGAACAGAAAAATTAAAGTGTTTATCTACTAGATACTACTACGTAAGTTATCTATACGTAATTATTATTTTATTAGTGTAAAAAGAAAACGTCAATAATAAATATATACTACCGTACAATCATTTTGTGAGGTTAGCTGTTATAAGTACCTTATAGTAGCATGCGGTTAGTTTTTCACTTACCAGAGTCGGAGTAAGGCCTTCGCCGCAACAGCTTAAAATGACTTCACAGAATGTATACACACCTTCCGATCTAACCAGTCCAGTAAATCAACGTTCGAATATTACAAACAGTTATGCATCAGCCGCTTCACACTCTTTTCCGAGTAAGACCCAAGCAATTGTATTTAGTTGCATCGATAATGCTAAACTGCAGGATTATCTCATTCCTTTGGGCACAATCATCAACCCAAAAAATAATATTTTTTCATCTAGATTATCTCATAATAGAATCTGCATGTATTTGGCAAACAAAACCGTAGTAGATAACTTCATGACACAACATGGCTCTATAGAAGTACTCGGCGAAGTTGTAAAAGCACGAAGACTTGTCTCTCCAGCAGAAAGACTTGTCTTGTCTGGATTCTGCCCGTCAATTCCTCATCAAGTATTAGTTGAAGAATTACAGAATATCGGTTTAAAGCTTATTTCCCCAATATCATTTCTGAAAATTAGCTCGACTCTCCCCGAATATAGTCACATATTGAGCTTTCGGAAGCAAGTTTATATAAGCCCTATAACATCACCAATTCCAGATTCTATTCTAATAAATTTCGATCAAACACCTTACCGCATATTTTTGTCACAAGGTACACTTACCTGCTTTATTTGCAAAAATACAGGACACATATCAGCCCGATGCAATAACAGTTCAGTAGCAGAATCAACTCATATTGAGTCAAACAATGAAGTACCAAATCAAACAGCTTCAACAAGTATACTACACAAGGTACCAAACACCCAGCAGTCATCAAGTTATCCATTATCAAATCCAAGCATATCACCTACACCTACAAATCTGCATGACAAAGAAATTACTAACGCTCCTACTCATAACAACACTTTCAATCAACCTCATTCAGTAGCAATACCGTTTTCACAAACTTCGGAAGCAATATCCTCCAATCTATCAGCTCCTTTTTCATTAGATACAACTGCAGAAAATTCTAATAAAACTGATACATCAAGACAATTTTCTGAAACAACCACTTCAACCAATCTTACAAATAAAACTTCAAGCTCGAGCTCTGTCACTACCAAGGAGTTTGCTTCAGTACTTTCAAATGTAATAAAGCCACAGTATCTAAGTGAAAACTCTAATAGCAATTACAAAAACAGAAGTTTTTTCATAAAACGTAGTATTGATGAGATTATCACGCCTCCTTCAGACTCAGTTATTTCATCAGAAAATATGTTTGCAAAACCCAAACCCTTTAAACCAAAAAAAAAAACACGCTCATCTAAAGTCCCATCTACACGGGAAACTCTTGAAAATTTCATTGATAATCTTACGCATTCATTCGTTTTAAATTACCACCAATTTTCCTTACTGATTGATAATGTCCAAGGCTCCTCCGACAATATTAGCATCGTCAAAGAATTTACAACTGGTATGGATGGTTTACTCCATCTTTTACAAAGCAGCTATCAATATGCAAATGATAGATCTACAAAAAGCAAGTTTACAAAACTTCAAAAGAAACTACACAACCATTTAGAGAAAGAGATTTCTGACTTAGATAGTAAGTCTTCTGTTGACAATTGTTCAGTATCATCTAACTCCGAATCTGTTAACAACATTCAACTCGATACTTCAATGGAACATTTATGGATTGTTTCATCGTCTTATGCTACAGCTTCTTTTATCTAAATATTCTCCAGATATTATTATTTCTTATGAACATGGAAGAAGCGTCAACTTTTATAGGTTCCCTCACACGTCGGAATAACAGGAAATGAAGAAGCTGACAGGACTGCACGAGAGGCAATTTTAAGTGATTTGTCAAAGCCTACAGACAAGTGTGTTTCCAGTGACTTAGAAGCTTATTTTAAAAATAAAGTGTGGTGTTTGAGGCAAAATGAGTGGTCTCAAACTAATTCCAATCTAAATAAAATCAAAAATAATGTGTCTCAGTTGTTTCCATCGTCGCTCCATAGACGAGAACAAATTGCGGTTGCGCGTTTACGCCTAGGGTATACCAGATTAACGTACTCCTACCTTTTCACAAAGAAAAATCCACCTATATGTGATCAGTGTAACGTCCGATTAACAGTCGAACATTTTTTAACAATTTTTATTAAATATGACGACAGCGCTACAAGATCCCAAACGCTCTACTACAGGCTCTAGGTCAAAACTGTTCCTGTAACAATATAGTGAATAATCTTAGATCCATAAACATTTTGTACAATCGGTGGGTGTTTAACTTTGTTTTTTTATATTTTGTTCCGTCGCTAATAACCTTTTGGTGGATGCGACATCTTTTTCTAATAAAAAAATAATAATAATTCGAGCAACATCTACTGTAGATAACACCATATCTTAATTATTCACTAAGTTAAAATCCACGTGTGAAAGGCTTAATTTTTGTTTAATTAAATGTTTTTAACGTATAAAATAAACAGCGACTACAGAAAATGACAACAAAAAATATTTAAATTGAGACTCAATATGAAACAGTGCATAAAATATACTGATGTGTTTAAAATAACAACGGCATTAATGGATTAATTTAAAACTCTGTAAAAGAAGAAAAATTCGTACACGACACTGGAAAACAGTAGCAAATTTTTGCAATAGACTTAGTAAAGAGATAACCTGTAACAAATCTAGAACAAGTCCCTATTATTTCCTTTATTATATTCCTTATCAATTTCGACGATAATATTCGAAGGAAACAAAATATTTGTAACGGGCTGACAAGTCCTTATCACGAAAAGCACCTTTTCAGTGTTGAATTAATTTCCTCTTCTTCGTGTACGGTGTTTTGTGTCGTTTGCGCCTTGTTTTTTGTTTCATAAAGACAAATTTTAATATGAGCAGTGACGTAAATGCCAACAATAAGAGTAAAGGGAAAGATTTAGAAGGTAAGAATGTGTTTTTCAACAGCTGTTTTTATCGTTTTTGTTTGTGTAGAATTTTAATAAAATTAGCGTCGTTAGTACTCTGACATACGGGAGGTAACTTTTTATATAACATTTTTATTATAAACGGTTTAATGATAAGAGTCTTTAATATAAAAATAACAAATTTATTTTAAAGAGATCAGTTCAATGAACAGGCCTCTAGTAGAGAATAAAATGGCATTCCGACTGTCTTATACAACACATTTACTAATAATGCGTAAATCTTAATTATTACCAATTCCTGTATAATCATTAATAATAACAATAAAGTCATTTATTCATTATGTCATCTTATGTAAATAATTTCATATTTAAAAAAACTTCAAGCAAGTTTCAGTTCAGGAAATGTATAAGGTAAAACCGGGTGAGATGCCGCACCTTTCTTCTCACATTAAAAAAATGAACATAGGTTTAACCTAAAAAAAAATCTAATCTCCAGGTTATTCGTTGATCATTAGGGGAGAGGGGGGCAAGTTGTTACATAATTGATTCTATTAATTATTTGTTCAATAGTAGATCTTTTATATGAAAACTAAAATCGGATTAAGGTAGTTGATACATTTACACAAATAATGTTAATTTTAATTTATTTAAAAAATCATATTTAACATTTTGTTATTATCAATTTAACTCAACTTGTAAATTGTAACAACATACCCCACTATGAGGCAAATTGTTACAGTCCATGAGGTAAGATGTTACAAAAAAACAATTCTAAAAACTTCCCACAACATTATTTAGTGGTCACAGAAAGAACCCTTGCTTAGCTACAAAAAATATTATAAACATAACACAAAATGAACTAAAATAAAAAATGAAAATCTGAACAAACCTGTTTACAAGAATGTTAAACTAGTCACTATCGGACGAGCAGTGAATACAAATATAAAAATCATCGTCTTTTCCACAAGCAATATGTGCCCACTTTTGACACACAATGCACCGAATCCATTCTTCGTTTTTGGACTTCAAAAATGGAGCTAAACATACCAGACACGTCGATTCCTCATCCTTTTCCGAGCTTTCAGAATCTGATTTTTTGAAGGTGTTTTTGGTAATGACAGTCCGTTTCTTACATTTTTTAACAATAGTTTTTACCTTGTTTCTTGATTCACCTGATATGTTTCTTTTGGTTGCCCCCACATTTTTTTTTTCTTTGTCTTGCCTTTTCTTCCTCCTTTAAAGCTGATTTAATGGGAGTATCAGTCAAAACAGCGGAAGTTCTTTTCTTCCGACCCCCTTTGGATTTCCTTGGCATTGCTTTTGGATAAGGCTTCAACTCCTGGGCGTTATATGAGTAGGTGAATCGACAGGTTCATTTATCGCCAAGTTAAAATCTGTGCTTGTAGAAGGTTGCTGTTGGGAAGGAGTTCTATGTGTTTCGGTGCCAATAGGTGCCGGATCTATGACTACTGTTGCGTTTATATTTTCTGTTATTGGCCTATTTGTTACCTCTGCAGGCAAGAATTCATCATCTTGAAAAATTTCTCTGTTGTATGGCTAAATTCCTGTCACACTAAATCCTTTTTGTATATTAAGAGGTGTAACAGCAAGAGGAAATGAATCTTTAAGAACGATAGGTATATCGTAAATGTTCATTACTTTACCGGGATTAGATCTTAACCATGCATCTGCATCACTATTAAAATATCTTTTAAGTGGGCCAAATACCGTCCTATCAAGCGGCTGCAACTTGTGTGATGTATGTGGCGGGAAACTTAAAAGAACCACTTTATTTTCTTTGCAAAAATTCAACACCGGAATAGACAAATGAGACTCGTGATTATCTAATACCATCAAAACGGGTTTCTCTTTGCTACATCGTACAAACTGTTAGTAAAAAAATAAAAAATAAAAATAAAAGTTATCACATGTCATCCATCCAGAGGAATGAGACGCACCTACACAACCAGGAGGTCCATTGGCTACCATAACATCTTTGAATTTCTTTCTCGAAAATATTAAAAATGGAGGTACAAAATTTCCAGTTGCGTTGACAGCTAATGCCAAGGTAACAAGTTGACCTCTTTCTCCAGATGTGATAGCACCTACCTGCTTAGTTCCCCTTTTTGCAATGATTTTTGTAGGCCTTTGGACAGTTGTAGGTCCAGTTTCGTCCATATTGTACACTTCTTGGAGCTCAAATTTATATTTATCATAAACTTCGCCGAGATTGTTAAAAAACTGTGACACATTATGACGATTAAACGCGGTAGCTCGACCCATACTAGTAGCTTCAGGTGTCTGGACTGATAAAGTTCGATGCATCTTCAAAAATCCATATAGCCAGTCTCTGGAAGCTATTTCAATAACCTTCCAATTTTTCGGAACATATATTTGGTTGGCTGTTGCATATTGAAATGCAAATTTTCTCAAATCAGAAGTTGTAAGACCGTAATAAATTTTAGCAGAATGCTCAGTATGTTCGGCAAGTTCCTCTTCTTCAGCATTGTTAAATATTTTTCTGGCCGTAGCGTAGCCGACTAAGTTCTTGTTACTGTTTTCAGCACCTAAGTTTGATTTTCTTTTCATATAGCGGTGCAATGTCATAAAATTAACTCCATAGCGAATAGCAGCATCCCTAATTGACAAGTGTTCTTGTAAAACCGATTGCACCGCCCTTTCAAATTGTTCGGTAGGAATAATACCCCTTGTGGTTTTCTTTGTATACGTTCGCACCATGTTAAGCTATCTGAAAACAACCAAAACAATTTCATGATAGAAAAATTTAATAAAACCTAATCTGTGTTTCTAACATGCTTTACAAAAATAAATGTAGGTAGGTATGCTATTCATTACAAACAAATTACTATCTACAAAATATGTCTGATTATAATATTGTATTTTTAGTGAAATCATAAATTATGGTAACTATATTGTAACCATTGTAGGTATTTCGATATATTCTTACATTAACGTGTTCGGGGCAAGTTGTTACAGTAACAACCTGGCCCCAGATTATTGTAACAACTGGCCCCACGTGTACGAAATGAGGTTAAGTCAACGTTTTTGGTAAATATTGAGAATCAATTACTAACAATAGCATGCCAATAACGAGAAATATATACGCTTCAAAACTATATAATACACATATTTATACTACTTACCAATTTCTCACAAATAAAAACAAAAGCCACCTGACAACGGTACAGTTTTAGACCCGAAACCACATTCTAAGCAATAACACTATGATGGATATCTGACTTGAGTATCAATATCCGTTCACAGATGACGGGTCGGTTGACCCAACTTTCCATAAAATATAGGCAACTCATGATACTTGCTGCGTTTTAAAATAATTGTGTAACAACTTGCCCCCCTCTCCCCTACTTCAACGTATATCCCATATTAATAAATGTTGTGTAAAAGGGTTTTTTGGGTATTATCGGAAAACTAAAGAAACTTACTTTGGCCATCTTACCCACCTGGGTGGGTAAGATGCCGCACAAGGGTAGGGAAAGATGGCTTATGGAAATTAACATAAAAAAACAGTGTACACGTAAATTTTTATAAAAATAAAACACTTACAATTTATTTGTTAGTTTTAATTTGTTTTTTTCAATTCTGCACGGCCATACATATTACACCTTACTTCATACAATGTGCAGGTTTCATGCATCCATCTAGCACAATTGATGCACTCAAGCCAATCTGCGTTAGATGTTGTTGCGTTATAATTTTCATAATACTACACAAACATTACTGTCATGCAACGACTCGTCCTCACTTAAACTTAAAACAAAGTCAGACTCAAATGAAGAACTGTCTTCTTTTCGAGCATATTTTTTTTCTTTTCATAGCCTCTTACATTTGAATTATTTTTTTATTACTATTTTCAGTTTTCTTTTCTTTACCTTTTATTTTCTCTCAACAAGAGCCAAGCGTTTCTTAGTTTTGTCAGCTATTACTTCTGGCGAGGTTAACACCTGAGCTGACTGTTTTCTTGAAGATGGCTTCCTTGAAATAGGTGTGAGAATTGAGGCAACCTCGAGAAGGAGTTTTGTCGGAGTTTATTTCACCTGCAAACACGGCAAGTTATCTTTTATGGGCGTGACGATGATTGTAGTGACTTCTTTAGAGGTCGATGGTGTGGTCAAATCTTCTTTACCCATTAAACAATTCTCAGTGGCTACGTCTTGGTTTGCAAATGCCTCTTCAAGTGTTGCATCAGTGACAGCGGAAGGATCAGTGACAGTGGAAGGATCAGAACTGGTTGATGGGACAAGAATTTCGTCTTCATCATTTGATTTTTGGTCAGATTGTGCGGAATCATAGTCTGTCCTTGCGAGAAATGCGTCTTCGGGAATAGCTGAAGGTTTAAAAGGGTAGACTCCACATACCCTGAATCCTGAAGTACCTGTCTGCAGATTTTGACCAAGCTTGAGCAAGCAGTTCTCCGAAATGACGCCTCTCCAATTTCTTTCCAGGATTAGCGTTTCCCCACTCGCTTGCTGCGTGTCTGTAGTGGGCCTTTAAGGGCTTAAAAAAGGACCCGTCGAGTGGTTGTAAATATTGCGTGGTGTGGCTTGGTAGACATAGAAGTACAACATCATTATTGAAAGCACATGTCAAAATGTCGGGAGAGTTCGTATGTGAGCCATGACCATCTAAAAGTAACAAACACTTGCCCGGTGGTTTTCGTGATAAAAAGTGATCTCGAAACCACTTTATGTAGGCTGATTTCTTTCTCATTTCGATAGCTGCTCCTGCGGGCATTAATTCTTGCCAAATTTGTTGTTTTTTGACACCTTTAAAAATACAGAAAGAAGGTAAGAAGGCACCTTCAGCATTCGCGCAAGCTACCACTGTTACCGTCTCTCCTCTTTCCGTTGATTGTCTGACCTGTACATCGCTGCCCATTTTAGCCGCAACAATGCCAGGTTCATTATTTAGTTGTAGGCCTGATTCGTCTACGTTTTAGATGCTACCAGGTTTCATGTAAGAGCTAGAAGTATTCCTTG